GTATCTTCTGTTTACTTCCATATCTCTTGTTATTAAAGACTTCCACTACAGTAATCCCACTCCAGGTACTGAAGTGGGGATACTCAGCCTACAGCTCACGGCTGTCCACAGCCACTCTCCCGAGAGCTCCTCGAATACAGGTAGGCCACGGGCTACAGCCCAGATGAACCTTTTGGAGACTGCTGCTTACTCCCAGCCTCCAAGTGTCCAAGGTGTCGCCCCAGAGGGAGCAGCGATTCGCAATAATCCTGACAAATCCAGCCAACCGCCGCGTGCGTGGGCAGCGGCACAGCACGGCAGGGAGGGACAACAGGGAACGTCCCTCTTTTGCCGCGATAATAACTAATGATACCCAGCCAGCTGGTAAGGTTGCACGGCTGTTTCGGGAGACTGAAGCATGCTGTGGGCAGGCAGCTCCTCTACATCTATCACATGAAACTCCAGAACAAGACGAACCTTACAGCTCACGCAGGGGAAAACCTTCACCAACCACGCTACGATTCTGGCGAGCTACCTGGTGCAGTTCTTCTGCTGGGAGGCTGGACTCAGACCCGCCCCAGTTCTGGGCTCCCAGGACTCCTGTGGGCTGGCTGCGATTTTACGTTTGAGTTTATACCCATTCAAGCAAAGGAGGAAGAGTAACATTTATGAGCAGCAAATCCCTTCCCTCACACCGTCTTTGCAGCAAAAGTGGGAGGGAAGGTGCTACAGACAGGCATGCACACCTGGAAACAACTCGTTTCAGAGAAGCAACGATTTCTACAGAAAGGCACAAGACATAATATCCCCTGTTCCTATTGTGCGACCTCTGGGAAGTGGTACCTGGCTCTTTTTAATCTAATAAAGTTGTCTGAGGAAAAGCTGTATGTGAAAAGCCACCTGTGGGAACAGTATTGCAGCCCTAGATTTGCACCATTCCTGTCTGGAGACTCCCAGCCTAGTCCTCACATCAAATTACAGGCCAAAACAACAGCTGCCTTCCCTAGGCAGTAATGCAGTAGTAAATGTCTCTTCTGGATTGAGCGAGAGACACTTTCCCATGGCCAGAGTAAGCTTAGATGCAAGAGGAACAACAAAGAATTCACGCTGCATTCCTCCTTTGTGGCACCATCTCTCAACAGCTGGGGCAGAGGGAAGATTCAGAGGGACACCATAGCCCAGTGATCCTCCCAGGTGAAGAGGCCACATTTCTTAGGGGGAAAAAAAAATCCTTGTGAAGTTAACTGCTAGATCATCTAGGTCTAAAAAAGCCATCATCTGGGGAAGCCCAGCCTAGCTGCAGTCAGCAGAGGGAATTCACCCTGTCCCCACCAGAGCCTGGCACATGGATGAAGGCAACATCCCACCTTTCCCAGAAACTGCCTTCATGCTAGTCTGGTCCCAAGCACCGGAGGAGCAGCCTTTGACCGATGCTCCCATCGGTCCTGCACCTCCACAGCCCTCAGAGCTACTGCAGTGTCCCTGCAGCTGTACCCCTTAGCTCAGGAGTGCACTCAACAACTCCTCGGGGGGGCAGGGCAAGGCCACGTCCCCTGCTTGGCCTAAAGGAGCTAGAATACACTGAATACGTTCAGCACGCATGAGTACATTCAGCAGCACAGCAGGACACGGAGGAAGATGTCTCGTGCAGAATAGCTGGGGTTGGAAGGCACCTCTGGAGATCATCTGGTCCAACCCTCCTACTCAAGCAGGGTCACCTAAAGCACGTTACCCAGGACTGCGTCCAGTCGGGTTTTGAATATCTCCAAGGATGGAGACTCCACAACTTCTCTGGGCAACCTCTTCCAGTGCTCAGCTACCTTCACACTGAAAAAGTGTTTTCTTATGTTCAGATGGATCTCAAGTGTTCCAGGTTGTACCTGCTGCCTCTCATCCTGTCACTGGGCACCACGGAGAAGGGTCTGGCCCCGTCCTCTCGACATCCTCCCATCAGGTATTTATACGCATTGGTAAGACCTTCTCTTCCCTAGCCTGAACAGTCCCAGCTCTCTCAGCCTCTCCTCCCATGAGAGATGCTCCAGCCCCTTAACCATGTGTGTGTGGCCCTTTGCTGAACTCACTCCAATCTTCTATTCTGCAAGGGCAGAAGTGGGGAGGAAGATAGGAAGCATGACTTCCTCTGGAGAATTCACTCCTGGGGAATTTCCTCCTGGGACAGGGGTGAGCTGGTTACATCAGAAAACATCCATGCTGCTACCTCCACTTTGCCTGGAGCGAGACCACACTTTCCAACAGCCCTGTGAGCCAAATCTTAAGCCTCATTTTACAAAATACAGCTCAAAGGGCTGATTTTTGAGGCACTGGGATGCCAGGGCCTATCTAGCAACTGTGCCTCCAGACATTCAGCATGTCTTGATACATCAAAAAAAATAAAAGGCACCTGAACGCACTTAGGCCCCAGAGATGTGTGGCCTGGCACAGGTGGAGAACAGCACAAATGGCTTCTGATCGCCAGCCTTTCCCGGGCCGCTAACAAACTTGGTGCCCATGTGAGCAGGTTGTACCATACTGTCATTCACACCGGGCTGGGACTGCGCACGTCCACGGTGCCTCTGCGGGAAAATAAAAACAGTCTCTAGTCAGTCCTTGTCTGCTACAACCGAGCCCAGGGCCGCGCTGAGAGCATGAAAGAGCTTTTCAAGAGACGGGAGCCCCTCACTTCTGTCTCGGCTCCAAACCAAACGGCAATTTTTCCAAGGAGTCAAACTGGGATCTCAGTAGAAAGGCTTACCGTTAAAGAAGTTTTTAAAAGACATGGAGATTTTCAGCCTGGGCACCGAGGACCCCCAGGGCCCTTCGACGATCTATAAGAGATCAGCAACAGCAAAGAGGACTATAACCGGCAAGCTGAAATTCACCACATCATGGGCCAGAAAGAGGAATTTTCAGGTCTATACATCTAAGACCGCTGAAAAACCACTGACCTAACGCTAAGCTCTGAAACAGAAAATTGAGTTCGACATTTGCGTTCGCCTGAACTGCCAGTGACTTAATAGTTTTGCCCCAATGCTTTGCTATGGGCACAGAACCGACTTCCAATTTTGCTGCAGACGGGGTAACAACGAACCGCAGTGACTGCCGCACGGGCTGCGCCCTTACATCTGACCGGTTCAGCTATCCCTTCCCTTCCGCCTTCGAGTCGCGGCGCTTTCGTCTCCAGAAAGCTCTGGACCGCTGCCTTTCAAACCAGCGAGAGCGAGCGCCGGCGCCAGCCCCGCACTTAGCCAAGCCGTCCGCTGGCCGAGGCGGC